AGGCGCTTCTTGTAGTGTAGCAAAAAGGTCTAAGCTTTCAACCCGAGTTTCAATAAATGTCAAATATCTTCCAATTGATCAAAATTCATCAAAACAAGATTATGACAGTTCTACATCCTTCATTTCATCATAACTAAGAAGGATTAATAAGGTTAGTGGAACACTCAAGCTTTAACTAATCTATATCTTAATTATAATCAGATTCAACTGTGATTCAAAGAATCCTTTCTCATTTGCAGGCATAGAATAATTTTGATTAAAGGAAACCTTTCTTTTGCCTGATTTGCAAGCTTAAACTTCAATGATATTCAAAATAAGAATGGAATTGGCATACTTTTATGAAACTGTACCAATTCTAGCGAAAGAGATTTCCATTTTCACTTAAAATCCTACAAATAATCTCTCATGCACTTAAACCTTCAGAATGAATCCATTTCCATAGCAGAAGTGCTTAAAAACTTGAAGTATGTCTGATTTATTTCTAAAAACTTGAGATTTAAATGTTGAATGGATGTTTTTCAGAAATGACTAAAATCCCCAATGCACATTAATTTGTTCCTTGTGACTTATTAAGATTCCATGGAAATTACTAAAGACAGATTAACTTATGACGCCGGAAATGAAAATGTTAATAAAAGGAAATTTCATATGCTGGAAATCAAGATCCAATTTCCATAGTTGTAAAATATACACACCTTTGTGGGTTGAAAAATATGTACAGCACCAACTTTATGTTAGGTTAAAAGAGAATTAATTCAAGAATGATTGTAGTTGTGGCTGAAAAAAATTATTTTTTCTTTCTTTTTCCTTCCTTTTTTTCACGATTTTCACTTGAAAATTTTTTTTACACAGCGTCCATTATCGGATGTGTGTGACACTTTTTTGATGAGTTTTTATCACAACTCAACTCGATCTAGTTCCACAAATTACACTTTTTCACATCATTCTATGCTTACTTTAGGTAAATTTCACACCTTTAAGTCGTTCTACATTATATAACTTAATATCTGATTTAAATCCACAAAAATTCTTAAATTCCTTCCATAATCACATCCATTTAGTTATCCATTCACATCTATTCCTTAATATTCAATTTAATCCACAACTTTTAGCACTTCTTTGTGTCTTTTTGGACTTGATTAAGTCCTGAAAATTTCAAAATGAAAACTTTATAAAATTTCACTTTTTAGTTCCACTTTGGCTCGTTCATGACATCAAAATCGAACTAGCTTGAAGGATTTTTTCCAATTCAATGAAGGAAAAAAGCTAGACACACAAAAACTTTTTTCTCCTTTCAACCACAGCGCATGACTCAATACATCCACAAAATCCGCTCACGAAAGCTCCAAAATTCTCTCATAATTTTCAGCACAGCACGCGTGTTGTTGATGTTTATAAAGTACGATTAGCACGAGGATTGGAAGGCATGTGAAGTTTTTTTTTCTTATGTATACACAAAGTATGTATGTTGGGTGCTACTTGAAAAAGCTTTTGAACTTGCCGAAAATTTTGTGTTTCTCTTCTATTTTTTATAAGCAGGCATTGAGTTAGGAATAGGAATAAGAGGGTATATCATCGTTTCTTGACTAATCTATGGAATTCTGAGAATGTTTTCGTCTAAAGACAGCTCTCTCCTCTGAGACCTTCTGACAGTTCAGGATATTAAGGACTCTAGCGTCCTTATCAATACATCCAATCCAGGTTTTCTTTGGAAAAGGACAAAACAATCGGCAGAGTTTTAGAGCTCCTTAAGATAGCTTGCCATAGAACTGATGTCTGTACACTCAAAAGCAGTGGTTCAAAAACTACCTGCTACTAAGGACTTAGCAGTCAACCCCTTTATTTTATTAAATTCTAGCTTTGCACTTGCTATTGACTTGCTTAATTATTGCAGCTATGTACATTAGACATTAATGTTGATCGACTGTAGTCTATCGTATGTCTGTATATAACCTAGTTATTAATGTCTTGTGTCCACTTTGGCTGGTTATTAGAGTACTGCTATTTTAAAGCATATCTAATCAAATTGTATCTTTTATATACTGTCAAGGGGGATTAAACAGCAAGCCACGAATGGCATGAGATTTAAGAAAGAGTGGCTTGATAACTTATTTCAAGAAGCTATTGATAGCAAGTGTGCGGTACTGATGAAATGATCAAAATGTAATTTATCAGTTCCGCTCCATTGGTTAATAGAGACAGTACGTTTTTTAAATTCACACCGATTTCACGTGTGAATCTATTGGTTTTGTTCAGATTGAAAAATCAGTTTTTTGTATTTTGTGAGGATATGGAGCAAGAAAGCTTAAAATGTTCAGAGATGAAAAGTTTGTGCCTTGAATTTCACATCTTTTGCAAAAAACAGATTTCAAATTGGTTGAGGCATTGCTGAGAAAATCGCAAAATATGCTTTCTGTAAGCAAGCAAACAAGCAAGTTAATCAGCAAGAAATCTCAATAACGAGACATCGTAGAGACTTCTAGTTTTTTACATTTGATCCGTGCTGCTCTATAGAAGAGCTGTATTGTTTTTAGGCAAGGTAGGAACAGCCGTTGCTTCAGAAAAAGCAAAAAACTTTCCTTTCTCACGAATTTTTCAAATTAAAAGTTCACTGTGATTTTTTATTAAATTAAACTTTGGATAAAAACAATTTTTTTGAGCAGAGCACCAAGAAGGAAATACATTTTCAATTTTGGACTAGGGGCGACCCTAGTCAAAATTAATTTTGTCACTTTTTTTCTTCGGGGGTTTATCCAAATGGATTGAAACTTTGCATAAATATTTTGGTGCTTAAAACAAATACAAACAAAACATCCAAAAATTTTTTTGACCAAAGAACCAAGTAGGAAATACATTTACAATTTTGGACTAGGGGCGACCCTAGTCAAAATCAATTTTGTCACTTTTTTCTTCGAGGGTTTATCCAAATGGATTGAAACTTTGCATAAATATTCTAGTGCTTAAAACAAATACAAATAAAACATCTTTAAATGTTTTTGAGCAAAGAACCAAGAAGGAAATACATTTTCAATTTTGGACTAGGGGCGACCCTAGTTAAAATCAATTTTGTCACTTTTTTCTTCGAGGGTTTATCCAAATAGATTGAAACTTTGCATAAATATTCTAGTGCTTAAAACAAATACAAACAAAACATCCAAAAATTTTTTTGACCAAAGAACCAAGTAGGAAATACATTTACAATTTTGGACTAGGGGCGACCCTAGTCAAAATCAATTTTGTCACTTTTTTCTTCGAGGGTTTATCCAAATGGATTGAAACTTTGCATAAATATTCTAGTGCTAAAACAAATACAAATAAAACATTTTAAAATTTTTTGAGCAAAGAACCAAGAAGGAAATACATTTTCAATTTTGGACTAGGGGCGATACTAGCCAAAATCAATTTTCTCACTTTTTTCTTCGAGGTTTTATCCAAATGAATTGAAACTTTGCATAAATATTCTGGTGCTTAAAACAAATACAAATAAAACATCTTAAAATGGTTTTGAGCAAAGAACCAAGTAGGAAATACATTTTCAATTTTGGACTAGAGGCGATAATAGCCAAAACCAATTTTCTCACTTTTTTCTTTGAGGGTTTATCCAAATGGATTGAAACTTTGCATAAATATTTTGGTGCTTAAAACAAATACAAACAAAACATCTTAAAATTTTTTGAGCAAAGAACCAAGTAGGAAATACATTTTCAATTTTGGACTAGGGGCGACCCTAGTCAAAATCAATTTTGTCACTTTTTTCTTCGAGGGTTTATCCAAATGGATTGAAACTTTGCATAAATATTCAAGTGCTTAAAACAAATAAAAATAAAACATCTTAAAATGGTTTTGACCAAAGAACCAAGAAGGAAATACATTTTCAATTTTGGACTAGGTTCGACCCTAGTCAAAATCAATTTTGTCACTTTTTTCTTCGAGGGTTTATCCAAATGGATTGAAACTTTGCTCAAATATTCTAGTGCTTAAAGCAAATACAAATAAAACATCCTAAAATTTTTTGAGCAAAGAATCAACAAAGAAATACATTTTCAATTTTTGGACTAGGGGCGACCCTAGTCAAAATCAATTTTGTCACTTTTTTCTTCGAGGGTTTATCCAAATGGATTGAAACTTTGCTCAAATATTCTAGTGCTTAAAGCAAATACAAATAAAACATCCTAAAATTTTTTGAGCAAAGAATCAACAAAGAAATGCATTTTCAATTTTGGACTAGGGGCGACCCTAGTCAAAATCAATTTTGTCACTTTTTTCTTCGAGGGTTTATCCAAATGGATTGAAACTTTGCATAAATATTTTAGTGCTTAAAACAAATTCAAGTAGAACATCCTAAAATGTTTTTGAGCAAAGAACCAACAAAGAAATACATTTTCAATTTTGGACTAGGGGCGACCCTAGTCAAAATCAATTTTGTCACTTTTTTCTTCGAGGGTTAATCCAAATGGATTGAAACTTTGCTTAAATATTCTAGTGCTTAAAGCAAATACAAATAGCATAAAAAAATGCATTTCCTACTTAGTTTTTTGCTCCAAAAAATTTTTGGATGTTTTATTTGTATTTGTTTTAAGCACTTCTTGAGAAGAAAATTCTTGAATATTCGACAGAGTTTTTTGAAACAGCATGAGTCGTGTGTATGTTGATTCTTACTTTTAATAATCATTACATATAAAATTAATGGGATTTTCTCTTTCATACATCAAATTACATTACAAGTCGCATAAAAGTGGGAAATAAACTTAATCGTTTTGCTGGTGTTGATTTCTCGGTTATAAGGAATATCGAGTATGATGTATCATAAAAGAGTCATAAGAATAATATTTATTGAGTAGCTTGAAAACTTTGGTATGGTTGATTTGAATGATTTTTGTCAATAATCTCAACTGATTATTTTGCATGTAGAAAATTGATTTAAAAATGTCGCATCTTTTTTGGATCTTTACTTTTGTCGACCCCAAACCTTAAACACAAGACATCCAAAAACCCCAAATTTACTACAAAAATAAATTTATTTGCATTCAAAAGTTGTCATTATTACAAAAATATAAACATCAACAGTCATTGCAGCATGGATCAAAACTTGCAACACAAGGATTACAGGTTCCATTACTCTTTGGTTTGCATGCTGGTCTTGCTGGATTTGTTGCTTTTCCCATTGTAACATTTGTATATCTCCAAGTGTATTTCGATGGACAGCATAAGGGCCATGGCTTGACAGTGCAGCAGGGTCTTCCTTTACATTCAGTTCGTGGACAGTCTAATTGAAGACCATTGCGTTTGACACATTCACAGCTTGTTAACAAGACACTTCCTTTGAGCTCACGGCTCTTGCAACGCTGGAAAAGAGGAATTAAGGATTAAGGATTAAGGATGCTTTGAGACTTTTCATCATTATGTGCTATTCCAAAAAATGATAACTTCTCTTACCTTTGGAGGACAGCATGGATCACAAGCTGGTGCGCATGAAGGTTGACACATCGGTTGACATGGTGAGCACATTTGCATGCAATCTGATTGATACATCGGTTGACAAGGTGAACAATAAGGCTCACAAGTCATAGGTGGACTGCATGGATCGCAGTATGGTGAGCAGTCTGATGGGCAGCACATTTGTTCACAAGGATCACACATTTTGAGTTGTTGATTATTGACTGGCACTTGACACTTGATGATTTACTTGAAGATTTTTCACAAAGAATTTAAATGAATTTTTTTGTACGATCCGAACTGTTCAACGACAAAAATGAAACTGAGAGATATTCAGATTCAATGAAATTTTAATGGTTGCTGAAATGAAAAAAAAAATCTCAAAGCAAAGAATTTTTATGTCTTAATGAATAACTTATGCTGCATTTCAGGCATCTGTGAAGAAAATTCTATAAGCTCCGCATATCCTTGACATTTTAATTAATCAAGTCATTAAAAATGAATGATAATTTAATATACATTCTGTATTTGGACAAACGAAAACAGGATTGCTTCTCATGTTACACATTTCTATTCATGTAAGTCATAAATCAAATAAAGAGGATGTGAAATAATTTATGAAGTAGGTAAAATGCTGTATGCTGAAAAGAAAATTGTTACAATCTCTGATTCTCAAGGGAAAATTTTTTATTGTTGAAGCATTTTTTTCCTATTTATTAAATTTTTCATCTCTCCTGCTTTTCTCAGCTGTTGTTGAGTTAAAGTCAAGTCGTAGGGAAGTTACTGCTGTAAATGATGTATGATGTGCATTGGTTTTGTGCTGGGTATGGCTGGTTTTTGTCGTTTCTTTTGGTGATTTGAATGATTTTCTGAATTTTTTAACCCTTTGCTTCTATTCATGTTTTGTCTGCATTTGACTTAATGCTCTTATGTTCTGTTAATGGATGCTGAAACTTTAAGTGCTGCTTTAACCTGGACATGCCTTATTTTCATCAATTTTTACATTAATTTACTTAAAATTGACGAAAACAGCTTAAATTACTTAAAATACATGAAAGGAACTGAAAATATTTGTCTAAGGCTACAAATAATTGAAACTGAGGACCAAATCAACTCAAAAACTCCATAAAAAGAATCAATTTTTACAGTATTCTGAAGTTTTGAAGTCAAATTCAAATTAAATTGATTTATTTATGCTGGTTCTGCCACCTGCGGACATTAAACTTAATTTAGAACCATCGTCAAATGCATCCAAATTACATTTGATAGTTTAACCCTAAAACTTCAACATCCAGCACCACAATTCAGTTCAATAAACTTAAAACCAAGGCCATAGAACTCCCAGAATAGTATAGCCTGGAGTCAGCATTGTGCAGTAACGTATACAAACTATTGAGTAAAATTATGTTAATATGAGCAAAGTGTAGTTAAATATTGTAAAGTGAAGCAAAGTTAACCAAAGTATTGTAGAATGTAGCAAAGTGTATTAAAAGTGTAGCAAGTGTAGTAAAGTGTTTTAAAAGTATAGTCAGTATAGTAAGAGTATAGCAAGTGTAGTAAAGTGTTCTAAAAGTATAGTCAGTATAGTAAGAGTATAGCAAGTGTAGTAAAAGTATAGAAAGTGCAGCATCCTTAAAACTGTTTAAAACTTTAAAAACCAAAATGTTTAAAGTTGATGTGCATTAATTTTGAAATAATGTATATTTTACCATACAATTTATTTATAAATAGTCAATATTATCGCAACTTAAGAACCGCTTATTATTTGAAATTTCATTCTTTAAAATTCTTTTAAGTCTTGAGGAAATATTAACAAAGATAAAATGAATCTTTTCTCATATAAAAAATAAAACTGTTAAACTAAGTTCAAATATTTCAAAATTAAGGATGTCTTTCAAATTTCGAAGAACAGTAACGAAAGAAAAGTGCACTTATAGAAATAATTGTATGGTTTTGAGGAAAATCAAATATTCAAATATTTGATTTTTCCGATTTGTATGAAATTTCAAACATTCGATATTTGGTTTTTTTCCAAAACCATACAAATTCTAATATTTTTTCTATGAGTGTGAGAATCAATGTTTATGATATTGTTGGTTTTAGAAAATGAAATGTCATCAACACTTTTGATATTTATTTTTTAAAAGTTTGTTCGAAAGTTAATCTTGTTGAAATAAAAAACTAGCATATTATAAAATAAATTTAAAATATTCTTTTTCCCTTCATTCAATTTTGAAATGCCAATAAATTGAAACTGATTTATATCAAGCTTGTTTTTATAGCTTTTTTAAAAATTTAAACTTAATACAAATTGTCCTTATTAGTTTTTTAATGTAGGGTTGCGTGAAAAAATCAAATTTGAGTCAAATCGAGAAGACATTTTTAAAGCTAAAGCAAAACTTTTCATAATTTTTTAATAATTATTGAAAAACATTTCTTCTGAATTTTAAAATAAAGTTTTCAATTAAAAATACTAATTTTTAAAAACAAAAGTACAACATTTTAGTTTTTTTTTAAATTTTTCAATTCAATTTTTCTATACTATACTTTTATTTTTTTGACAAATTTCCTTACAAACTTAAGGTATTAATTAGAAATTTCTTTGCAAGAATAAAATTATTTCTGCCTTAGCAGCATTAGTGCTTTTTATTTTTGTAAGTCCTTTCTATTCCATCAGCTAAATTTGGTTTAAAATGATAATAAGAATAATAAACAAATAAAAAAAATAATATTTTAAATTCTATAACCAGTTTTTATATAAGTTTTTAAACATTTTATTTTAAATTTTTAAAATGATTGCAAAATCTTTTCTTTTTTTGAAAGTATGAGTATAACGTATTAATGGACCACATGTTTAGGAGATCTATAACTATTTAGATTGAAGTTATGCACTAATTAATTTGATTAAAAATAAAGTACAGAAAAGTATGAGTAAAGTGCACTAAAGTGTAGTAAAGTGTGGTAAAATTAAGCTTAGTGTGTTAAAGTACTATACTAAAGTATAGTAAAGTAAAGTAAAGTGTAGTAAAGTATAGGTTAGTGTACTTAAGTATAGTAAAAAGGAGTTAAGTGCAGTAAAGTTTAGTAATTGCAGTGATTGTGATACATTGTATAGTAAGTGTACTCAAACATAATTAAAAATTTGTAAAGTTGAGTAAAAACGTAGTGATTGCAGACATAGTGCAGGGAGTTCTATGGCCTTGCTTAAAACAATCAACCCATAAATATTCATTGAACAATATTAAATCAATTCCATCACATAAACTCCTCACATCCCAACAGAAACAGATAAAACTCAAACATCCATAAATCCAGATTCAAAACAAATTTAATCACTCGAAATCAGCCAGTTAAAACGCGTCATAAATTGCACAACATGCAAAAGTTAAAGTCACAAATAAGAGAAAATAAAACATCATGATTTAATGAGAGCTTGTGCAGATTCACGTTGCGAGATCAGCAGGAAAAGTTTATTGTATATCTGCAATATAGCAAAAATAGACGTACATTAATTGGGGTGTATGCTATGAATAATTGTATCTTAGATTGATTTCCAGCTTTATTTCATAGTAGGTATGCAGTCCTTTTCGGGAATTGTCTAGTAGTTTAGCTTTTTTCGTATGCAGACTGTAAAATTCAATCAATTCAAAAAAAAAATCACGAAAGTTTTATTAAAATCATTTTTATTCAATACAAAGACCCCCCTCAATACAATAATTCCAAAACATACACATTTCCGTTCCATCAAGCACTAGGAAATTTCATTTTGTAAATTAAGGATGCTGTGGTTATGATCGCAAATCAGTAAGTGCTTAAAACGGAAGAACGAGAAATCACAGTTCCTCCACATTCATTTAAAGTATTCATGATGAAGTGCCTGAAATGAAAATAAACAAGTCATTATAAACTAAGGACATAAGTGTATGCAACAACAAGTTTGTATCACTTCTAATCAAAAAGTATCAAGTGCTATTGATTTGAACTCACTTGAGCAGCTGTCAAGCGCTGTTTAGGATTGTATTTAACAAGTGCATCAACAAGTCCAATTTCCTCTTTGGTTGTAAAACTTGGAAATATATCAATCCATTCCTCGCGTCTGCTATTCGGAAATCTTTAATCATTTTTGTTGGATGTTGATAACATAGCAATGAGAAATGAGAATTTTATGTAAATTAGGAGGATGCATGGCATAGAAATTTGCATAAATTCTTTATACCTTATCTTGTTGTAATCTGGTAGACTAGTTACTTCTGGCCATGTATCCGTTGGATTTCCTAATGTTCTGATTACTAATGCTAACTGCTCGATGTCTGTGTTACCCTGGAAAAAATAAAAGTTGGAATTTATCATCTGTAGGGTCTCTTACTGATGATGTCAAGCGTACAAAGGGACGGATTAGAGGGGTCAGAAACCTTGAATGAACCCCTTCCAAGAGATCAGCTTTAAAAGAAGGTTGAAACCAAAAAGGAAAGGATTCTCTTGGACCAACTAGTCTACAGCCATACTAGTGACACCTAGCTATACTCCGACCTCCATTCTATATACAATCTAGTCCAGTGTTGTCCAAACTGTGTGCTGCGGCACACTAGTGTGCCGTAGAAACTTTTTGAAACTGACACGAGCCACATGCTGTGTGCGACTTTGATCATGGCTTATCCCTCAGGTGTGCCGTGGCTCAAAAAGTTTGGCCAGCACTGATCTAGTCCATCATCAAATCTAAAACTCACCGCAAACAATGGAACACCCCTCAACATCTCAGCAAACACCAGCCCAGCACCCCAAATGTCAATTTTACATCCATAAATTTGAGCACCCCAAAGAATTTCCGGAGGTCGATACCATCTTGTTGCCACTTGTGGAGAATAACACTTCCTTGAATCATCTGGATTGAACAGTCTTGCAAGGCCAAAATCAGCGATTCGTAAAACGTCATGCTCATTGATTAATAAGTTGGCAGGCTTTATATCCTAGAAAGGGAAATTAATGTTTTATAGATGTGTGAGATGAAGGGCTGATGCTTGGGATGTGGAATTAATCAGACAAAATGTGAGTCAAAAAAAGTCTAAGTTATCCTGATTGTGACTGATTTTAAGTCAAACTCTGATACTGACAACATTTAATGACTTTTTAAAACAGTTGTTGACCAAAAGATTAAGCACATACTGCCTAAAGCATCAACTCTAATCACAATCAAGACTCTTTACCCTGTGCATAATTTTAAGCTCATCATGCAAATAAGCAAGTCCAGTCAAAAGCATTTTTGTGTATGATTGAATTTGTTGCCTAGATAATGGATTCTCCTCATCCTTTAGCCTTGAATACAAAGTATGTGGCATGTAATCAAAGACAAGAGCTAAGCCTGACAAGTCAGGATACATGTCAATTAAGGATATGATCTAAAAAATGGTAAAGTTCAAATTTTATTTGGTTTACATTTAAAGTTGAACTTAAATATGCATTTAACCTACAAATTCACAGTCTGCATGCTGTAGAGATTTGATTTCTCTTAACGTATTTGGTGAGATTCCTGAAAATAACAAGTTAAGCTACGATTTATTCGAAAATCAGTAAACATTTTGCATCAAATTTACCTCCGAATTTCGTTCTCAATGCAACTTTCTTTATAGCAACAACTTTATCATTATTATGAGTATCGATGGCTTTAAGCACAACTCCATGCACACCTTCGCCAATTTTCTGCAGGAATTTATATCTATTCGGTATGTATTCATTCATTTTCCACAATTCGAAATGGTTTTTTGTTTATTTATCAAATAAATTTCGAAAAATTTCATTATTTTATTTCCATGGAAACACAATAGATTCAAACAAGCTGGCTAGGTGTCATGCATGACTGTGTGCATGGGTGTGTGTATGTTCTGCACCTGTTGTTTTTATGAATTGTGAATGGAAAGAGAGACAATGACACTTCATGTTATTACACTTCGTCAATTTTATTGTTTTTATATGCAGCATAGCTCAATTTATGATTTTCACACCACATAAAGGAGTCGTTCACTTATGACGTCCGAAAATAATGGTCATTTTTCAAAAAAAAGAACAATGTATTTCCAGGAATTACTATGCTTTCTCGAAATCCCGGTCCCGACAAATTTTCGGGATCGGGATCGGGATTGAAATTTTTCGGGATTTCCCGGGAAATCCCGGGAATCCCGAATATGTAAAAAAATTTAAAAAACAGCATTTTTCTGCTTTTTTTTCCAAAAAAAATTGTATATTTTTTTGCTACTTATACGGTCATTTATTCCTTAATTAATTAGTTATAATTTATGTGTTACAAGGTAGATGTTTTAATCCATGTTTCCTTTGAAAAATGTGAACATAAACAAAAATAGAAAATAAATGTTGATAAAGATGTAAGTTTAAAGGTTATAGAAAACGGTGTGAATATAATAATAAAAATTAAGCATTAATGAAAAAACTTTTAACAAATGCAATTGCATTTAGATTCTTGTCAAGTAAACGTTTTCTTTGTTTTGTAAGAATGTTGTTACTAATAGAGAAATTTCGTTCGCTTTGAGTTGAGGTCGGCTGCATTGTTATCAATGCATCGTAAAGTTGATCTAACAAAACGGTTCTCTTCTTATTTTTGTCATACCAATTAAACTCTCTTTTCAAGTTATTTGGTTCTGTTGCTGCTGCATCTGTTGTTAATGATGTATATTCAGATATGCTTAGTTTCAGTCTATCTCGAATAGAAATGTTTGACGGTTGGATTTGATTTGCACTGGATGTTGAAGCTTCCATAGCTCCATTTGTAGAGTTTTTGACAAAATACTTTTTCAATAAGTCAATGCCAAGTTTATGTATTGCAGCTTTTGTTGACGATTTAAAATGCTTGTCTAAAGAAATATATTGAGGTAAAGTATTAAGTCAATTAATGTTCCATTTCTTCGTGCACCTATGCGAGCGCAATTCATATCGTAAACCTTTTGAGACAATAATGTTCCTTGTAGCAACAATTCGTCTAGCAAAAAGTTAATTGTTCCTTCAGCAATTAATAAATCGTCTGATTTACGCAATAATTCTTCTGTCGCGTATTTAGCAGGTTCTAAAACATCAATAATTTCCTAAATTAAAAAACCGGGATTTTCAATCCCGATCCCGATAAATTTCGGGATCCCGGGATTGATCGGGATCGGTAAATCCCGGGAAATCCCGATCCCGATCCCGATAGCGAGAAAGCATAGGAATTACTGACCCCCCCCCCCCCCCCCCCTGCACGTCATAAACGATGAACGGCCCCAAATGATTGTGGTTGATTTTATGAAGAGTGCTTTTTATAGATGATTGTTGTGCTTAATTGAATTTGATGAGGTTTGAGTGGGTTTTTAATTAAAAATCGAGTTTGATTGAAATTTACACAAATGGTGTTGAAAATTGTGCCAATAAATTTAATTTACTTTTTAAACATTTAATTCATTAAATGGAGTGGATTGCAAGGGTGAAACCACTTTATGGGAATTTTAACTTGATAAACTAATCTTTGGCTCTTACTTACTTACATATCTAACCTTCCTATCCTCCCTCCAACATTTAGACTAGAACATACCCCAGCATACTCAAAGGTTAGGTACGGATAGTGAAGGGGAAGTAAGAATAAGCTGTAAATACAACAAAAGATAACTTTGTCCCTCCTTAGTTCAATTGCGTCAATATAATCTGATAAGTCAAGATCGTGAGAATAATCTGTGCCAAAAATGATCTCTCAATGTTAAAGTATCCACAAAATGTATATTTTATCGGTTGCTGGCTCATTTGTGATGCAAATTCAGTGATAACATCCGACACTGCATATTGTTGCTGTCTCTCGTACTGGTTGAATTCAAATTGATGTAATAAGGACAACAGTGCGTGACTCTGCAATGGAAACATTTAGTATTTTGTAGAATTATGGAAGTAGATCAAGATTACAGTATCATAACATGAGCATGCATAAACTACAATCACTGCTAGAGTTCCGTATGTAAAAACCATTGTGTAGATTGGAACTGCGATTCTTCCAATTGGCATTAATCCAGAGGATATGAGAAAGACTTTATATCCAGCTGAGCTGTTTCCTATGATGAATACCAAAATTTGTAAGATTGATGCAACTCCTGAAACTTCATTGACCCATGTGGATATTTCATATAGAAGTCCATAAATCCTTTTAAGAATAACAACAGTGTTAAAAATTGTCTCATTCTCAGGTTTAGTGATGATCATCAAGTCTGCATGAAACTCCTGAATGTCCTCAATTTTCATGATTTGTTTCAGGTCAAAAGCTCTCTTCAGGACATCATAAACAGTCTGTAGATTAATATTGATGATTTCAATGTAAAAACAGAACCTTAAGTAAGTCACACCCATCACAAAGTAAGGCAGAACAACCAGCAGTGCCCAATAAAAGATTGTCGATTTGTTATGATAATAAATGAAACCCAAAGTAATAACAGTCATTAATCCAAAAAGAACCAAGAAAAGTGCAGTTACAGTCTTGAATTTCTTTGTAAAAGCTTCATATTTAGGCACACATCCAGTCTCGTCGTCAAAAGTTTTATGAATTTTTTCGAGTTGATTGAAAATCTTCATAGCCTTGACTGAGTTGTACCAAGCATGCAAAGCTGACATTAAAATCACAAAAGTCATGAAGGAATAAGATCCATAATGAACAAGCATGCCCATCTGTGTCTTTGTGCTGTTTTTTGTATCTTCCTGAAGTGCTTTTTGCTCGATTTTAATGACAACAGCAATTCCAATTATTTCTAGTAAGACATAAAGCAAGACACAACCGAAAATGATTTTGTGCAGCAATAGCTTGCTTGTTGGCAGCAGCTGATTTTTTGACGATAGCGAAAAGTATTGCAGACCAACAAATTGGAACAACAATGTGCATGTTGAGAGTGACTCAGGCTTAACTTCTGATTTTTGATCCATTTTAGATTCAATTATGTCAATTGCGAAAGTGCTGAAAATTTAAATTAAAATGGTGCCTGACTATCCTGATCATCACTTTAAATAGCATTAAACCCACGTCATTAAAGTTTCATAAATTGCTGTTAAACCAGTCACGCACATCAAGTTAAAATTCATCACGTAATATATTTTTATACTAGTTGCTGAAATGTGCAGGATAAAGGTTTTAGATTTGCTTTACAATGAATTTTTATTAGAGATTTAGTTTTTTGTTATTTTTTATAATTTTTATCTAATTAATGATAATCTCTGATTGTTTAAAATATTCTATCTATTAATTTGCAATTAATAGTGATAACACTTTTATCGTGCATTGATTTGCTCATCAGGGGTGATTATTCGAAATAAGTAAGCTGTATTCATTGATGCTGCTTATTAATACGTTAGCAAAATACGTACGTACAATTTTACGTAACCAATAACGTACGTATAATTTTACGTAACCAATAACGTACGTATAATTTTACGTAACCCAAACGTACGTAAAATTATACGTAACCAAACGTGAGTAAAATTATACGTTTCCAAAATACGTACGTAAAATAATTAAGAAACGTACGTAAAATTTAAAAAATTAATAAATTTCTGAAACTAGCTTCATTTAATCACCAATCTAGTCATAAAATCACAAGTAAAATAATTTAATCAATGCCAATTCACCCCGGATAGCAGCAAATTTGCAATATAAATACATTAGTCATATAAATATTTTACTCAAAAATACAATAGTGTAGAAATATGGAATGGATTATTATTAAAAATATTAATAATATTTCATCAAATACGAAAGTAGATTGCACGGTTATTATTTACTTCAGAAACTCCATGATGTCATCGGCCGATAGTTCATTTTTCTTTCGATTAGTCATCGAATTATTGCTATTAGATAGATGCATCAAATTGACAGGCTGACTGCTGCTTGACTTCATTTGATTCATGGCAACTTTCTTCTTATTGCTATTCGGAAGTAAATCATCGAATGCACCCCAATCGTCATCTTTTTTTGATGCTGGATTAAACTGAGCAGATGCTGATGTTGGCATTGTATTATTATTATTTTGTGGGGATGTATTCCAAGTGTTTGTTGTTGGAGCAAACCATGTGTTATTATTATTCGGTGCATTATGTGTCAATTTAAGCTGATTGAGCTGATTATCCATCAATGATGTTGTCAAGTCTTTTGGTTTATTTAAAATTTTCAGTGGAGCTTGTTTTGGCGCAATTGATGGCTGTGACTGAAGTCTTTGATTAAGTTCTTGTTGCTGTGTCACTCGTTGTTTGTCCTGTAAGCTCATGGAACTAGAACTTGTTGACATTGAATTGTTATTTCCAGCATTTGAGTCATTACCGCCATTTTCCTCCATGTCATTAAGAAACTGTTCGAGACCAAGATTTGAAAAGACATCGTCTGACTGTGACTTAACTGGAGACTTTGCATTCGGTACAAGTTGTGTCTGAGACTGAAATTTCAATGTATTTGATTCCTTTTGAATATTCGTTAATTGTTCCAATTTCGTTCGATGCTCACTTTCGACTCGTTGAATCATATCTTTAACTAAGACCATAATGGAATTGAATTGATTCAATGACAAGCCATTCTCAATTGAAAGTGGAACTAAAAATGGAATGACTTTATTAGCAAGTGATTCTTTTGTTAATCCAAGTTTGCTGTGTGTTAATGCTAGCTTGTATATCCCCAATATTGCCATAATAACTGCCGGTTCGCGTGATGGAATTTGTGGTAAAAATGGAATAACTTCGTCCATAACAAGCCATTTATCGAGGTGCTCAAGTAGCTTTCCAATACATAATAAGCAATTAACTTTAACACTAATCAGTTGAGTAGTTACACATAATTTTTTAATTCTTGGCAGCAAGTGGTTCTTCATTGACGGATAGTCAACAAGTGATGCAAATGTTGGCAAAATACTTAAACATAATTCTTGAATTTGTTGAGCATCTGATTCCAATGCACGATATAACATCGGTAATACATCAGTTTTGACATCTTCAGCAGGCGTTAATTTAAGCAGCAAGTCCATTTTTTGCATGAAAATTAATAAAATTTGAATAGGTTCTGTAATTTTCATGACTGGTTTTAAATGCACAAGGACATGCTTGACATATTCTTGATTATTACAATTTTCAGCAATAAGCAAGACATTTGGTAGCACAAAAGGGATCATTGGCGGATTGACGAATTCCTTCACGAGACATGGAAGAATTCGAAAGACATTAATACGATGTGGAAGTTTTTGAATGACTTGAGGAAGGCCCTTATAAAACTTAGATTTCTGCAGATTATCCCATTGAAATAGTTGGTCCAAATAGTGAAGCGTTTTGACTCCAATATCATCAAAAAATGCAATCTAAAATTAAGTTGAATAGAAAAATAACGAATAAAAAATATTTAAATTTGAATTGGACCGGATCATTTTAAACTCAATAATGAATAAACCGTTAAATAACGATTAAATCCATTTTAAGTACATGCTTAAAATTTAAAGCAGTCAACTTACTTTAGTAAATTCGTGCAAATTAATCCTCAACTCAGGTGTCGCATTTAACATCATCTTAACTTCATTTTGTAGTCCTTCGGGTATGCAATTCAACAGTGGATACTTCCCTTGCTTCAATTCTTGAGCATATTTACGAAACGTCTGATAATCCTTTCCAAACATTTTGATTGGCTTACCACCACTTGAGTAAGTAGCATAAATTAGCACACCGAGTGAGAAGATATCACTTTCTGCTGTATAGTTGCTAATTAAAGCACATTCTGGTGCCATATATTCTAAACTCGGCTGACAAAGAGCATGCCAAGATGAGTTGTATTCATGGAATGGCCAGAATGGCTTTGCATCATGAGGATTTTGATTTAATACGCAATAATCGAAGCCAAAAATCTTCCAAGCTCCTTGTTGATTAATTATAATCGATTCAGGGCAAATGTTTCGATGTAAAAGTTTAACATCTGAGTGGAGAAATCCAAGACCTTCACAAATTTGTATCAGTCCGTATTTTGTATCCACATCATGTAGCTTATGTGAACTAAAACTGTTTGGATTAGCCAAGTTTGAAGTATTTCCAAGGACATTCGCTAAACTAGCAAAAACAGGTTCAGTAGCAAAGGCGAACGAATCTCTTGATTCTTCCAGAGGATGTTGCATTGTAAGGATATGTGGATGTCTTATTTTGGTCAATTGAACAACTCCTTTTTTCAGAATTTCTATTATTTGATCTTTGTCATCTTTGCTGCCAAATTTCTCCAGCTGCTTCTTTTCAAACACGAATATTGAAGCTTCTTGCTTCGTTGACTTTTTCGTTCCTTTGTATACCCGCCATAATAGTCCTGTTGAATGTTCAATATGTTAGTAATGAGTAAAGTCTTTTAATGGGAATTACAGACAAGTAAATTGCGAATTTTCAGTGCGTTTTGACTGGCTGGATTTCTATATTAGATAAGAAATTGGTGTACACGGCAATAGAAAGTGCAAATATGCTTACAGAACACTGATGAGCTTACTTTTCACGCCACAATATGGTTAATTAGAGTAAACTTTTATATTCACATCGTTTTCACGTGTGAATCTATTGGTTTTGTTCAGATTGAAAAATCAGTTTTTTGAATTTTGTGAGGATATGGAGCAAGATAGCTTAAAATGTTCAGAGATGAAAAGTTTGTGCCTGGAATTTCCAAGGGGAAAGAACTCGTATAAAAATGCGTGCAAATACATGTAAATGCAGGTATTTGCAGGTTTTTACATGTAAATGCGGGAAAATGGGTGTAGATGCGATAAAAAAACATATAAATACAGGTATGTACAGAAAATAAACTACCACAAATATATTGGGATTAAAATAATAATTTAAAGGTACATTTTAAGGAATAATGAAAAAAAAAGACATAATTGATATTATTTATTTAAATATTATTGTCAAAAGAACGTATGAAAGTATCTTTGTCTTCCCGAGTAAAGTCTAGATTAACATTAACATGATATTTATATAGCTTTAATTCAAGATACTTAATTATGTCCATCAAAACCTTTTGTCCATTAACAATAAAGTATAATGGATTTGTGTCCATCAAGTAGAACGGTGACCTAACGAATTGAGTGATGGATTATATATGGGTTTTTTGTGCTATTTTGTGAAAGCAGAAAAATAACTTTTTTAAATTTTGTGAAGTTGCCAGTTCTGAGATATGAGCATCTGAAAACGAAGCTAGGGCCGATTTTTTACTTTTAACACTTTCGACTGTAAATCTGACAAGGCTTAACGAAAATTGTTCAAACTTGGTCAGTAATTTGTGCAAATGTTTCTTAATCAAATAAAATAAACGAAATATTTTTATCTAGCCCTCCTGCGAAAATATGGGGATTCTACGGAAGAACCTGGTGCAAAATTAGCTACTATTTTACACTTTCGACTGTAAATCTGACAAGGCTCGACGAAAATTGTTCAAACTTGGTCAGTAATTTGTGCAAATGTTTCTTAATCAAATAAAAAAATACTTCATAAAAAAAACTTTTTAAAAAACCACGTTTTTACCCGTGGACTAAAAAGTAGAAAATAACTTTTTTAATTGGGTTCAAAGGATATTGGTTTGAAAATTTGAGATTGATATTAAAGTTTTATACTAAAGTCATGACCATACATGAATTGCAAATTTGTTCACTTCGACCATATTGTATAGTTCTACATCTTAAAACGTGGGCGCATTTATATAAAATTTAAGCATTCCTAATATACAATATTAATGAATGCGCCCACGTTTTAAGATGTAGAACTATACAATATGGTCGAAGTGAACAAATTTGCAATTCATGTATGGTCATGACTTTAGTATAAAACTTTAATATCAATCTCAAATTTTCAAACCAATATCCTTTGAACCCAATTAAAAAAGTTATTTTCTACTTTTTAGTCCACGGGTAAAAACGTGGTTTTTTAAAAAGTTTTTTTTATGAAGTATTTATTTTCTACTTTTTAGTTTTAAAGAATTATTTAAAGTATCCATCGATCAACATAAGTTTGTAAACTAGAACAAAACCATTGAAAGTCTCCATCGATCAGTTGTGCTTCGCACAGCATAAGTTTGTAAACTAGACTCATACCATAGAAAGTCTTCATCGATCAGCTGTGCTTCGCACAGCATAAGTTTGTAAACTAGAATTTAACCGTAGAAAGTCTTCATCGATCAGCTGTGCTTCGCACAGCATAAGTTTGTAAACTAGAATTTTACCATAGAAGTCTTCGTCGATCAGCTGTGCTAACGCACAGCATAAGTTTGTAAACTAGACTCATACCATAGAAAGTCTTCATCGATCAGCTGTGCTATCGCACAGCATAAGTTTGTAAACTAGAATTTAACCGTAGAAAGTCTTCATCGATCAGCTGTGCTTCGCACAGCATAAGTTTGTAAACTAGAATTTAACCATAGAAGTCTTCGTCGATCAGCTGTGCTAACGCACAGCATACGTTTGTAAACTAGAACAAAACCATTGAAAGTCTTCATCGATCAGCTGTGCTATCGCACAGCATAAGTTTGTAAACTAGAATTTAACCGTAGAAAGTCTTCATCGATCAGCTGTGCTTCGCACAGCATAAGTTTGTAAACTAGAATTTAACCATAGAAAGTCTTCGTCGATCAGCTGTGCTTCGCACAGCATAAGTTTGTAAACTAGACTCATACCATAGAAGTCTTCATCGATCAGCTGTGCTTCGCACAGCATAAGTTTGTAAACTAGAATTTAACCGTAGAAAGTCTTCATCGATCAGCTGTGCTTCGCACAGCATAAGTTTGTAAACTAGAATTTTACCATAGAAGTCTTCGTCGATCAGCTGTGCTAACGCACAGCATAAGTTTGTAAACTAGACTCATACCATAGAAAGTCTTCATCGATCAGCTGTGCTATCGCACAGCATAAGTTTGTAAACTAGAATTTAACCGTAGAAAGTCTTCATCGATCAGCTGTGCTTCGCACAGCATAAGTTTGTAAACTAGAATTTAACCATAGAAGTCTTCGTCGATCAGCTGTGCTAACGCACAGCATACGTTTGTAAACTAGAACAAAACCATAGATAGTCTTCATCGATCAGCTGTGCTATCGCACAGCATAAGTTTGTAAACTAAAATTTAACCGTAGAAAGTCTTCATCGATCAGCTGTGCTTCGCACAGCATAAGTTTGTAAACTAGAATTTAACCATAGAAAGTCTTCGTCGATCAGCTGTGCTTCGCACAGCATAAGTTTGTAAACTAGACTCATACCATAGAAGTCTTCATCGATCAGCTGTGCTTCGCACAGCATAAGTTTGTAAACTAGAATTTAACCGTAGAAAGTCTTCATCGATCAGCTGTGCTTCGCACAGCATAAGTTTGTAAACTAGAATTTAACCATAGAAGTCTCCATCGATCAGCTGTGCTTCGCACAGCATTAGTTTGTAAACTAGAATCAAACCATTGAAAGTCGTGTAACGTATTTTTTGTCATTCAAATTATAACGGCTTTTTGAAATATAAAATTATTGAAAGTTGTTCATATGTTATGTAAAAATACGCTAAGCCTTAAAGAGTAAAAAATTTAATTTTATTGTACTATAATTAAGCATTTTTAAGTTTCCGAAATGCTTGAATATTGTATTGTCACCGGAAAGAAAAGTGCATGCAAAATTTCAGCTCGATTGGAGCAGTAGAAGTGGTCGAAATATTGATCGCAAGATTTGAAATTTTTTTGCAAACAAACAAACAAACAAACAAGAAAGCAAGTTAAGAAAAACGTGGTAATAAACGAAATATTTTTTATCTAGCCTTACTGCAAAAATATGGTGATTCTACGACAGGACCTAGTGCAAAATTAACTTATTCTTTCGGTAGAATCCCCATATTTTCGCAGTAAGGCTAGATAAAAATATTTCGTTTATTTTATTTGATTAAGAAACATTTGCACAAATTACTGACCAAGTTTGAACAATTTTCGTTAAGCCTTGTCTGATTTACAGTCGAAAGTGTTAAAAGTAAAAAATCGGCCCTAGCTCCGTTTTCAGATGCTCATATCTCAGAACTGGCAACTTCACAAAATTTAAAAAAGTAATTTTTCTGCTTTAACAAAATAGCACAAAAAACCCATATATAGTCCATCACTCAATTCGTTAGGTCACCGTTCTACTTGATGGACACATGGATTTAACAGCAAACCAATTTTTTCACAGTGCTCTATCTCTACAAAGTCCTGATAAAATGTTGATTTACTCATCGATTGGATATGCAGGCGCTTCTAGTTTAAAACTTGTAAAAAAATAGTATTTCCTTCATCAAATAGAAGAACATTATCACCTTTTGAAACTTTTGTGGCTTTCCAAAAATCATCAACTTGATTTACTGATGTATTAATATGAATTGTCCTACGAGGTACGAAACGTTGTCTAAAATCTGTATTGACATGAATTTTATTGTTTTCTAGCATCCATATCAGCTGATCTTTCTTAACTATTTGTGTAGTTTCACCCTCTTTGATTGTTAAGTAGCCATTGTTTGATCTAGCGCTAAGAAACTCAACGTTTTGAAAAATGAGACTCTCATCGATTGGCTCAGTGTCTTCATCATCCCATGTTGTTATAACAAAGTGTGTTTCAAATTGATTTCTCTCACATACAGCTCTTTATTCATTTATTTTTTAAGACTGGTTAGCTGACTCGCTTATTTTATACATTCAAACTTATATATATACCCAATGGGTGCCGATGGTTCTTATTCTTCGAAAATGGTCCTTATTCTTCGAAATCGAAAATTCGAATTTGAATTTTTTTCAAAAAATGAAATTCCGTTAAAAATATTTCATCAAAAAATTATATTTGTTTACATCAGTAAAATTTTGATTAATTTTCATTAATTATGGGTAAAACCTGCAAAATTGCAAGCTGCAACAAAAATAAAACAATTACAAATCTTTTTAAAGTACCTAAGCACTCATTAAACAAAGATAAATGGTTGTTATTTTTAAAATCAAACAACATAAGTGTCGACGGAAGTGAGATTTCTGCTGTAAGTGATTGTAACACATTCAAGACAAAATTTTCAGATATTGTTCTTAGTCAGGTTGAAATTCCATTTGAGCATTGTTCAAAGACTATTGAAAATTTAATATTATTTTTTGTAACTTTTCGATCAAAACTTGAGCTTCATTGTCGATTGTTACATTCAAAAAACAAATTTGCGTCGAAGAATTGATTTTTGTTCATAAATAAATTTAACGGTCTTTAATATTTCAAAATTTTTTATAAAAAATTATTTTTCGAATTTTTTCGAAACAGGTTTGAATTTTAGAAAAAATAACGGTCTACATTGTTCTAGGCACCCATTGGATATATACCTTCAAACCAGTGTTGCAAATGTAGATGTCTACACTAGATGAAGAATGTAGATTCTTCAATAGTTTTTGTCTAGCTAAGAAACTTTCTTCATAAAGATCGATTCTTCATGTAGAAAGAAAAAAACCATCTACATGTAGATTGTGTCTACATGTAGAATCTGTCTACATGTAGATTCGATGTAGATGTCTATAATTCTACATTTTTTTCCAGGTCTACATCAGAGAAGAATGTAGAATCGTAGACATCTACATTAAATCTACATGTAGACAGATTCTACATGTAGACACAATCTACATGTAGATGGTTTTTTTCTTTCTACATGTAGAATCGATTTTATGAAGAAATTTCTGTCTCAGAATTTATCTGATCCAGACAAATAGCCAGAATGCAACACTGCTTCAAACTTATGCTGAGCGAAGCTCAACTGATTCGATAGCTTTATACCTTTAAATTTATGCTAAGCAAATCTTGGTCTATCCATAAGACTTTTGATGGTACGGTGTGAATATATCCGCATTGAGTTTCTACCCGATACACTAGTCTTATCATGAAATTGCAACATTTTAAAGCCAGTCAAAATTACACATGAATCTTTTTATAAGCTAGTGTTTCTAAGTAATGATTCATAAGCTGAAAATTCGCCATAAACATTTGTTTAAGATGACGTATCTACTTGTTTTTATCGAAGATAATTTTTACTGACCGATTCCAGCCGAGCAAATTTGATTTTCCACTTCATACTCTCTAGTTAATGGATTTCCCGGCAAATGATTTGATAGCTGTGACACTGTAGTACTCACACTCGAGTATAATTTATTGAATGTATTGAGAACATCCATTTATTTCTGTAATTAAGGATTCTGTGAAAGATGAAAATAAACTTTGAGTGTAACCTGTTGAAATTTCTGACAACCTCTGTAATTCAAACAAATTCAAAAATATTTCAACCGTTATTTTTAACACAGCAATCAAATAATTTTAGTACAAGTTCAAATAAAATTCCGAAAAGTGTTGTAGAAATATTGTTGTGAAAATTAAGAAGGAAAACAGTGACAGAACGTATTAAATCAATGTTAAAAATTGACATAAGTACCAGTAGTTTGTGCTCCACATAAAGGTAATTAAGGAAAACTTGAATTGAATAGTTAAAACTGCATTTAAATAATTTCAACAACAAACCAAAGCTTACTCAAATAAAATTGCGCAAGCTTTGTCGTTGACACAAGCGAAAGTTCAATGGAATTGCCATTTAAGCGATACTAGAACGCAGTGATAAGAAGCCGTTCTGATAAGTCCCATTCAATTGCAATAAAAATCATAGTCTATAAAAAGAAAATGCTTTCAATTATAGATTAAAATTGCAAGTGGTTGAAATAGCTTCTCAACAAATAAATATAAATGTTCTTGTGCATACATTCATGTCCAAAACTGTGTTCGTGTATAAAGTAAAAGAAGAGAAAATTCACTCGCTCACTAAAGTTGATTTTGAGTCAGTCTGAGAGATATTTTCATCGGATTCGGAACGTTTTCCATCGCGTTCGTGGAAATAAAAAAAAATAATTAAAAGAAGTTGAGTAAAGAGGAAATATTTCATTATCAAAGTTGCAGTCAGTCTTATCATATCACACACATTAAATATCAAAAGATAAAAGATACAGTCGTAAACAAGTGGCAAAAAAAAAGTTAAAAATCATTGTTTTATTTGTGAAATGTAAGTAAATGAAAGGTGATTCAACATTTAGAAAGAAAGTTTTATGATAAAACAAGAATACTTAAATAATAATCAAAGGAAGTTTCGTATGAAACGGGAATTGAAGAATTAGTGTGAAAAAGAAGTTCTTTTAATGTATTTTATGTTCATTCGTATGTGGATATGATGTGATGTGTACACTTCTCTCTCTCTGTGTATTGACTTCTTATGATACCTACGAAGCGGCCCCGCCTAAATAATACAGTAATTCTTAAGCTTTCGCTTAACTTAAAAATATATGAAGAAAAAAAAACTCTTTTATCGATCTTAAATCTCTCGCTATTTCCACATGAATGCAATTTCTACAAGGAGTGTTGACTTGTGAAGAACGGAAGAAACTGGGAAAAGTCCTACTTTGCCTATAAATATTAAATTACAAAAGGCATACAATCGAAATTTAATATCTCATTCCGCTTAAGTCCACCTAAAAAGTAGGCATACATAAAAATGGTGGAAAGCAAAGTGAATTGTGTTGGAAAAAAATTATTGATTTTCGCCTAAAATTATCGCATTTTCTTTCATATATACCGAAAAAAATGAAAATGTTACTGTTTCTCTTTTCCTCGTTACTCTCAAAGCTTGATTCTCTATGCGACAACAACCAAGTTTATTTTTGTGACCCACTGTGTCACGTATATAAAACGATTTGAAGTGTACATTAACATACATAGATAAAATGATATGCTTCGCCTCTATGGATGTTTTGTGGACACAGAGAGAAATATGCGAGTATGAAAATTCACAAATAGAAAGAATTAAAAAGAAAAAAAGCAAGTGGATGTTAAATTGACAAGTGATTAATGAATGAAGCGCATTGTTGCGTTTCTAAAAATGTTTAGTTTGATTGGAATAAATTAGCAATGTTACGGTCGGCGAATTTAACGACTTTTCATGGCGATTGGTTATTATTTTGTTTGGGTTTATTTTTAACACGTTGAGTGTTGTTTTTTTGTGGGAATGCATGGTGAATTCTTATCTTAAGTGGATTTATGTTTGGGTATTTTTTATCAATGTGACATTGAATATTCGTGGAAGTCAGATAACAACCTGGCAAAATGTGGTTCTACGTTCTAATTTGATGTAGGATTATGGAACCCTGTTTAAATTGGGGGTTCTAAAATCGGGAATATTCCCAAAATTCCCGTTTTCATACCAAAAAAACCGACAATTCAAATTAGATTTTTATTATTTTGTATCTTCCATAAAAAAACTACAATTTAAAGAAAAAAATTAAAAAATAATGAAAACATACGTTAAGGAATTTAAGAATTGAAATGTTAAACTCGAATTTGATGTTTTTTAAATCAAAAACATATATTTATGAAAAACGAAGAGAAAAAGTATTTAAAAATATTTTTTTAAATGTATGATGTCCACAAAATAATAAACTGAATTGAAATTGGATTAAAGTAATTTTTCCAAAATAAAATCAAAAAATCAGTTCATAAGCTGTAATTTAATCATGTACATATTCGTAGATTATCAGAAGTCAATAAATTAGGATGTCTTGGGTTTAGAAGCATTTTACAGTTATAGATTGCTTGACCAGCACGTTAATGCAATCAGTATTTTAAAATCGTACTTTAAGAATTGTTCTAAAACCAAAAAGAATTGAATTTTAAACGGAAATTATTGTCCAAATAACCAATTTGATAATCAAATCAAATAGAATTTAAAATTGATTTAAAAACCTAAATAAAATACATGGTGTAAGTGTAGCTTTTAACTTTTTTTTCTTTGTTGATTCCCGAGAATATTCCCGTTCCCGATTCCCGAAATCTTACGGGAACGGGAATTCTGGAACCCCTAGTTTAAATAGAGTTTGTGGTTATTTTGCCAAGCGAGACATCCATGTATCTAGTATTAAATAAGGTTCTTCTAAGTCTTTTGATAGTCAGATTAATTCTATCATCATTTCCAGCATTCTAAAGACTTGGTTTTGTCTAGGAGTATCCAAATGAGATTCAAATTAAAAATAAAATTCAGAACAACAATCCAAAGTAGGGGTTTTAACCCACAGCCTTTGGTTTTAGCTCGCTTGCTCTAAACAACCCCCTTTCAATAGAAGGGAGTCTATATTTACTAAATGCAATGCATTACTTACTTAAAGTGTAACTATTTAATATCCGGAAGCTATAAAATGAGGTTCCCCAGGTCAAAAACCTTAAACAAAGAATCAAGCCAAAGTTAATCCAGTTAATTACTTTGAAACTCTAAAACAAATTTCTCTATCTAGACAATATTATCATCAACTCTTCAAATCTCTGATAATTGCATAAAAACAAAACAAAAATGTCTGTAAATGTCACACAATGTTAATACCAGAATCTTATAAGAATCCAATAATAATCTACCAATGTGACCACACAAACACAGCTACACAGCAAAGAATATTCCGATACATAAAAATACGTTTAACTCGATTAATTATCATATGAATCGCACGAGTTGAGGTTTAATCGAATGTATGCTGCTGTAAAAATATGTTCATTTATTGATAATAGCAAACTATCTCACAATGTGAGGTGGCTTATTTTAATTAAAAATCAGTTGGATCTTTCTATTCATTACAAATGCACAGATATTTTTAAACTTATAGGGAGATTAACAATGGACAATTGACCCATACAGAATTAATTATAAATCGGATGAGAGAGTAACCCAGTTTTTCCACAATTATTTTTCTTGCTTTCTTACTCATAAAAATTGTTGTTCTTGCTTCTTATTGTTATTTTTTCTTCTGTGTAATGTTTGGAGTCACAAGCAGTATACACATACATTTATGACTCAACTCTTCTTATTTCTATTCGGTTAAAAAAGAAACAAGTAAGAAAACAAAATTTCATGATGACATCATTTTCTTTTTGGGAGCGCGCGAGTCTTTGTATATGGATACTCTTTTTATTTCACTCATTTACATTCGAATAGATACGAAAAAATTTATCGTCATTTTTTTTTTTGAATAGATTGAGGAAATGAAAATGCATATAGTAATGATGTATATGCCACACTTGTTCCAACCACCTTACATTAATATTTTGGTGTCATTAATGTTCGGAGGAATTGTGAGTAAACGATGTCGTCATTAGAGAGCTTCGTGTGCTGTTTGTCTATTTTTTTACAGTTGTTGAAATTGGTAAAATTATTTTAATATTATTCAATTTTTTTGATAAATGAGACATAAAGACATCAAAGAATGTTTTGTTATTTCAATTATATTCACTGGGGGAATTAGGAACCGCGAATAATATTTGAAAAGGTCAATTTTGGTGTATTTGCATAGTTTTAACTGATTTTAAGTTGCTTAATTTTAGTAAAAAATTAACTTTAATTAAATTTGAATTTTTAAGTTTTTAAAAAATTTGAATTTTCAACGGTGTAAATCAAGTTTAAATTTTAATGATTCTTTAAATTAGGCATTCAAATTTTAACGTTTCTAGAATATTAAATGTTTAACAGTGTTTTTTTTTTAAATTCAAGTAAATTAATCAGATCTTTGTAAACATAACCAAGCATTGACAAATAATAAAATACTCACTAGCCCTAATAATGAATTTATCAGCAACTCAAATCTCCAATTAATTTTCAAAATTTTCGACCTGTGGAAGTTAAACAATTAATTTCAAGCTCCTAAACGTTTTCTACATCTACTACCATAATAGTTAATAATAACGAATGTGTTTATTTGAACTCATCTATTTCATGAAAGGCACATCAAGAAGTCAGATCACGCAAACGAATTTGTTGGATTCCTAGTAATAGGCATAATAGATCGCGTCAAAAATAAAAGGAATTTCAAAGCAACGGTTTAAAAAATTTGAAAATTTCCTAAAATTCCCCGCATTTTTGAGAATATTTGCCAAAATCTAATATCTGAAAATCCTATTAATACACATCGATTCCTAACTTTAACGCTTTTGCCACACACAATGGAACATAAAAAACATACTCCTGGCCTTTAATCATTGGCAACTTAAGGTTTTAAGCATGTTTGCAGCAATTTTCGAAAGAAATTTTTTTTTGTTGACGAAAAATTGTTTAACCGACACAAGAAAATTCAAAAAAATGACAATCGTTACGAGATTTTGAAACTTGAAGTGGTAATTTAAGTAACTTCCAATCATTTTATTGTTCAAAATGATAATTTGAATGAACAACTAGATGAACTTGCACAAATTGGTGCAGAAATATTTAAGTTTAAGCTTTAAATTAAAAAGATATGAGAGGTCTTGTCTACTCAAAATACCTATTCCCGAAAATTCTACGTCATCGGAGGATATTCGAATGCCTCTACAGAAGAAACTAGACATTTTACATACTTAAATTTGTTATTAAAATCTTTGTCTCGGCGAGTTCTATAAAACTATTTAAAAATATAAAATACTTCAATGGAGAAAATTAATGAAAAATAAGAAAAAGTGGTCTCTGATGACGTAGAATTCATTTTTGATGTGGCCCAGATATTATAAAAGTAAATTTTTAATTTTTTCCGCTGTCAAATTTTCTCTTTCAATGTTCGAAAAAACCCTTAATATTTACCTTTTAGGCATAAATAATCTATATCTTCAACAATAACATTGATTATTTGACCAAGCATAAATATGACGGAACAATAAGCAAACAAATCAATTGTCTGAGAATTGAAGAAAAAAATGAAGTAAGCATTATGGATTCCAATTCAGTGAAAATCAAGCGAAAATTGAAAAAGAAAACGAGAGGTGAATGAAGAAGAAGAAAAGTATAAAAAAAATAATAAAGTTTCTTCAATATTCTCGTACAAAACACAAGTCAGATCAGTTGAAAGTCAAAAACGAAATAAAAGAATCGCACACAATTCATTTTTATAAATACAGTGATGACTCAACTGGTATTTGACTACTAAAACTAACTGCAAGCCGTTTACAATAAGTATTCAGTAATCTACTCGTAGTGTGGACAGTTTTAATTGAGCTTGAGATCTT